ATCATTCCATTACGAAGAATACAAGGAACATATAAATACATATACATGAGAGGCCTTGGGTTGATAAACACAATGGACATGAGCCATACAAAGTACGTATACAAATGAGTCCGCAAACCACCCCCCCCCCCCTGCAATTTGATCGGGAGGATGGTTATGGATGTTCAAACTGGTATTGAGTTCGTTGAAGAGATGTGAAGGCATGCCTTTGGTGAAGATGTCGGTGTACTGAGCGGAAGACAAAACATGGAAAACACAGACCAAACCTCAAGCCACCCGATCACAAACAAAGTGAATGTCAATCTCGATATGTTTGGTTCATTGATGTTGAATCGAGTTCAAGGACATGTTGACAGACCTGATGTTGTCACAATAGACAATAGTGGCTTTGGTTGGTGGACACCGAAGCTCGTGAAGAAGGTTTCGAACTCAGCATGTTTCGGTTAGTGTGTTGGCTACACCATGGTACTCAACCTCATCATTGGACTGAGAGATGACCCCCCTGACGTTTAGACGACTTGGATATTAGATTATCCCCATGAAAAACACAGTAACCGGAGGTGCATCGAGGAGTGACTGGGCACCTACCCCAATCAACATCAGAATATGCAACTAGATATGAAGAAGATGACACATGGAGTTGGAGTATATGGTCAAGGGTGCCTCTGATATAACGCAAGATGCACTTGAGAGCATGCATGTGAGGCTCTCTAGGGTCATACATGAAGAGACATATTTGTTGAACCACAAACACAATATCCGGACGAGTGAATGTAAGATACTGAAGCGCTTCAGTGAGACTGTGGTATGGAGATTGGTCGAAGATCGGAGGGCCTGTGACATCCATCTTATTAATGGTCCTGGATGGAGTACGAGCAGGGTTGCACTAAAGTATGTGTGCTCGCTCTAGAATCTATGATGCATATTTTCTTTGAAAGAGTAAAATACCATGTGAAGTGCGAGTAGCATAGATACCCAAGAAGTAGTTAAGTGTATCGATATCAGTCATCACGAACTCGTGGCTAAGTTAACCAATAATTGACTGGATAAGAGTTGTAGAGGAGGCAGTGAACACAATGTCATCTACATATAGTAAGAGATATGTTATATATGTACCATGATGAAAGGTAACAAGAGATGAATTTGTCCGGTGTGCCAAAATCCATATGAAGGGCATGTTGAGCAAATATCTGGTACTAGGCCCATGAGGCTTGTTTAAGAGTGTAAAGAAATAGTTGTATATGACATACATGATTCGAGTGGTGCGGGTCGTGAAATCTAGGTAGATAATTCATGTATATTGTCTCCTGAATGTGACCGTGAAGAAATGTTTTCTTCACGTCTAGTTGATGAATAAGCCAATGTCTCGAAACAGTCAAACTGAGAACAATGTGTGTAGCATTTGGTTTAACAATCGGACTAAAGGTCTCATCACAGTCAATACCCTGCTGTTGATTGCGACCATCAGGCACTAGTCGCGCTGTAACACCCGGTCCTTGCATGTAAATTACTTTCTCTGTTTCTTAAGTGTAAGTGTTGAATTTTGATCTACGCATGGCGTAGATAGCCTTCTATACGTTGTGTAGAAGGAAACTTGGAGACGAAACTTTAATTATTTACGCAGGGCGTACTCGGCCAGAGCCTAACCCCTAATTGCGGGGGTTTTGATCCCTATTTAATGACTTAAACTTTCATGATACCCTTCCATCCTCAACCTTTGTCCTCCCAACCGACCCCCTTGCAAACCCTAACCTTCATTTGTGAGTTTTGAGCTTTTTGAGTGTTTGATGTTCATCTTTGAAGGAAGGATTGCATTGGAGAGCACTTGGGAAGCTTCAAGCCTTGTGGATCTGGAACTTGCATCTCATAAACATTCTCCAAAAGGTATAAAGTTCAGAACTTGATAATGTTTTGATTAGATCTTGTTAGTCCTTGTATTTATGTCCTTTTGTCCCATATTCTTGGTCTAATTGGGTATGATCAACTCCAAGCCTTATGATTGGCCTTTTCAGACGTTTTTGTGTTCATGGAATCATAAAAATGCAATCTTGGTCCCTTCCATCCATGCATGAGATATGGAGCTTGTAAATATGTAATAAGTTAGGGTTTTGGATTTGAACTCTCTTTAGCCATGCAAAGGCATAAAGTTGGAGACTTTATGATTTAGGATGCTTATTGGGGTTAGATCTGAGTATTTTGTGAAAGGTCTTAAGGAAATAACTGCTTAATGTGAGTTTTAGAATCTGAGTAATTATGCAGCGTGTAATCTAGGCTACGCCCAACATAGCCTGGTGGAGTCTCGTTTTCAGGATAAGGCTTTACGCCAAGTGTAGAGTTGGAGTACGCAACACGTAGGTCAGCAGAGGTCTAGTCGTTGACTTTTTGACCTGTTGACTTTTAGTAAACTATTAGGGTAGGTCTTGGAAGGGCAAAATGGTCTCTTTTTCCCTTTGAGGAGTTATTCTTAGCCTAAGGACTTCTCGGTTTGAGGTTTTTGTCTCGTTTTGATTTAAGGTTTTTTGGTGAATTGATAGTATGAGGAGTTCGGGAGTCAACAGCTCTAGTTCGTGTTTTATATGACAACTGATTGATGTGAGTTTTCCTCACTGTACTCGTGGGTCGAAGGCACGAATGTCGACCCACTAGGTTGTATGATGTATCCTGGTATATAGGATGTTGCTATGATGTAGTGTTCTGTTAGACTGTAGATCTGCATGATTATCGGTTGTTGGTTTTGTCAAAGTGGTAGATCTGCATGATTATTGGTTGTTGGTTATATGTTTATCAGTTGCATATGTCGACATAGTATGGTTGGGTTGAGGCAATACTACTTTGTGCAGAACCCAACAAAGCTAGGAGCAATCCAGGCAATACTACTGAGCTCATGTCGTGAGATCAGTCTGACAGAAAAATTCGATTTGTTCGGGTTCAAGCAATGTATATTCAGTTTTCGTTTTGATATCAATCGTTGTATTGGACAATTTGTTATTTTGCTTATCTATTTTATAAAAAAATGTTGTTTTGCTTATATGTTGTTGTTCGTTATGTTATAGGTATGGCAAGCCAAATTAGAAACTATAGGCCATGAACAAGTAATGAAGAACCGAAGCTAGTTGAGGCAAGCATTGTAATAGCTTGAGCAAGCATTGAAACAATTAGTTACGAACTTAGGTCTTTTAGGTAAGCCACATATTGAATTTAAGATAAAAACCATGAAGAAAAATTGGCAATGTGTCTACGATATGGTAAACAATTCAAACACAAGAGGTTTTGGTTATGACCCCGAAAAGCATTGCGTTACTGCTGAGGATCGGGTATGGGAGGCGTACCTAGAGGTACATAAATAAGCGATTGGATGGAAACACAAAACATTTCTTTATTATGAAGATATTTGCATTGCTTTTGGAAAAGACAGAGCTTTTTAAGGAAATAGAGCTAGAGATTTCATTAAGATAGAACAAGATGTGAACTTAGAAGAAGAAACGCAAGATTCAAATGATGATTTTCTAGATTCAGAGGAAGTTAGCCGTGCAACATGATGAAAATTAACCAAGTGTCCGTTCCAAGAAGAGGAAAAATCGAAGCGACGAGGGGTTTAACAATGCGGTTGACTTAATTATAGAAAGTCTTAAAGAAATATCAAAGGACTTGAGTCATGGTTTTAAATTTGAAATGAAGATCGACGAGTTGAGTGAGAAGACCCCTTTCGAGATTTTAAAGATGAATTCAATAAGTCAACTTGAGAAATTCAAAGCTTTGACAATGATAAGAAGTGATCCCATTAATGTTCAATTTTTTTGGGAAATTGAAGAAGATGACAGAGAGGTTTGGGTAAAATACATTTTGGAAGGGTAATATTATCAATTAGGATGTTCATTGGATGTTGATTTGATATTTTGGATTTGTAAGTTTTTTGTTTTTTGTGTCTTCGATTGGGATGTAACTAAAGATTTTACGTTTTGCTTTTATTTTTTTTCTTTTTCTTTCTGTAACAATATTATGATATGTAGTGAAGAAGGTGATATCTTTTAAGTTATTTTTTTGGGTAACATTATTAGGACGTGTATTGAAATGATTTTAAGTTATGAAGTGTTTTGCATTATTTTCGCATTATATTGGCAAGGACACTCAATTAATTAAATAAAATATTACTATTTTTATAATTTATATAATGTATATTTATATATAAGTTAAAAAAGAAAATAAAATTAAGCAAAATAAACAAAAAAAATGCAATTTTGTCATTTTATATGGATTTTAGTTCCAATTCTTATAATCAAATAGAATCTGAAATTAATTTCAATTTTATTTCATGCCAACCAAATAGGATATAAGATTGGATTCGAAATTTTGAAAATTCATTTTTCAATTTCAATCGATATGTATTGAACTTTTATTATCAATCGATTGTAATTCAACATTTGCGAACCAAACAACAATTTAGTTTTCTTTTTTAATTATGCATAAGATCTAATAAATAAAATACCAAACATATTTTTTAAATTAGGTGTGAAACCCGTATGTTATACGGGTTTGATAAAGCAAAAAATTAAATATGAAAGTTTAAACAAAAATTTATTTAAATTTGAAATTTTAAATTTGAAATTTAAAATTTAAAATGAAACATATTAAATACTATATGAGTATTAATTTTGTAATTTATTGGTTATTTTCAATTAAGACAATTATTAATTGAGGTGTAAATATGATTGTTAATTAAGAAAAAATAAAAAAAATGATTAAATGACAAATGGAAAAAACATTTAATCTAAAATACCAAAAAATGACATGTGTCAAAGTTAATGAGAGAGTGACATGTGACAAAATTATTTTCATTTATTAGGGAGGATATATATATTATATATATATTATATATATATATATATATATATATATATATATATATATATATATTTCAAAATAATTGCTTTTAGTATTATTTGATCAAAATCAAAATGCTCGAAATTACCGTCTCCTTTCATTTTAATTTTACCTTTTAGCAATTTCAGTTTGTCCATTTCTTCAACGGATTGAATATTGCATACTTCAAACAAACCCTTTGAAGTCCCCGCCGGTGATCTCGCCGCCACGAATTCAATTTGCTGACAACTCTTTTCCCACACCCATTTAGGGTTCTACCCATTTTTTTAATCCAACGACGTGTTCACATCGTAGTCAACGACTTTTCAATCCAATGCCAGCTCCATTAAATTGAACATATATGCAATCAACGATGGCCACAAGGTGCATTAGGGCTCGTGAACTCATTCTTCGGACTACAACCAACAAGATGATGATGGGTTCGAGCCACAGCTGTAGTAGTAGTAGCATTTCTCGTTCACTCCTCCCACAAACTTTCATCAGTGGTTCACAGAGTTTCAGTAATCGTGTTTTAGTCAGACAGCTTGCCATCCAACCGCCAAATTCATGGGGTGGTTCAAGGAACTCTACGCGCTTTTTCAGACAATTAACTGCGTTTGTCTCGGATTTCTCCTCTATTCCCCCGAAAAAACCTGTAAGTTTGTGCGTTTACGTTTGATATTGATTATAAAGAATATCTTGGGCAGGAGGTTATTAAAATGTTGGTTGGTCATGGCGTTTGATGAAAATCGAATGTATCATAGCTTTTTTTGTAGTTAAATTAGTTTTCTGATGATTAATATTGAGTTAAAACACTTATTTATGCAAAAGAAAGTTGCACTTTTATGTTACAAAGTGAGTCATGTTTTAATTTGCTACTAATTTACATAATTGTAATTAGCAGGGTTCAGTGTCAAATGGGGTTGCTTCATTAACAACATCAAGCGGAGAACAAGGAACAAAGCAGAAAAAGGAAGATGATGAAAAGAATCTTGTTACAAAAGGGGATGAAATTAGTAACACCAAGATTCTTAGTACACTTGCAAAAATCTTGTGGATGAAAGATAACTTGGAGTTCAAGCTGCGAGTACTCACTGCCTTAGGTTTCTTGGTTGGTGCCAAGGTGAGTGTTCAGGGCCATGCTGGCGGGTCTATCCAGACCCTATATTGACCCGACCCAAAAGTTTACATTTTTTTTGACCCATACCCATTTTGTTTCAGGTAATGAATGTTCAAGTTCCATTCTTGTTCAAGCTAGCTGTTGATTGGCTAACAACAGCAACAGGGAATCCTACTTCAATTGCAGAGTTTGCAGCTTCTAATCCAACAGCTTTAGCTGTTTTTGTGAGTCCTGCAGCTGTGTTGATTGGTTATGGTATAGCAAGAACAGGGGCTTCTGCTTTCAACGGTACTTCACTATGAAGTAATTGCTTATGCTTGTCTTCACATTTATATATATCTAAAAAATTATATCTAATAATAAAACAAACTATGAAAGTATGTTGCTATGTTTTGCTCCAGAATTGAGAACTGCAGTGTTTTCAAAGGTGGCACTTCGGACCATTAGATCAGTTTCAAGGAAAGTATTTGCACATTTGCATGAACTTGATCTACGATATCATCTAAGGTATATTATAAAAACCATAAATGTAACATTATTATAAAAACCTATTAGTGGATTTGCTTCTTATTGATATTTTTGTTTGCAGTCGAGAAACTGGGGCTTTAAATCGGATTATTGATCGTGGTAGTCGAGCTATTAATTTCATCCTTTCAGCCATGGTATTCAATGTTGTTCCAACAGTATTAGAGGTAACCTTTCTTTATCTATGCAATAATGGTTTAATCACTATAGAAAATAGTTAAAATGGTGAAAATACTCTAACATGTGTTTTCAGATTGTGATGGTAGGAGGTATTCTTGCGTACAAATTTGGATCAGTGTTTGCATTGATTACATCTTTGTCTGTTGCTGCATACGTTGCCTTCACTTTGACTATAACACAAGTATGCCTTTTTTTTATTATGAAATTGCCTTTTAAGTTTTAAAGAAAGTTGAGAGAAGAATATGTCACTTATGTGAACTTTTCTATATTTTCATTTTCTAGTGGAGAACTAAATTCAGGAAGATTATGAACAAAGCTGACAATGATGCAAGCACAAGGGCAATCGATTCTCTTATAAATTATGAGGTGAGGAGTACTTGTGCAAGTATAATATATTAATATGTAAGATCACATTTTACCTTTCGTTATTTGTCCTTTATCTTACAACTTTTTTTTTTTCTCTTTTAGACTGTGAAGTATTTCAACAATGAGCAGTTTGAAGCTGATGAGTATGATAAGTATTTAAAGAGTAAGTAGTTTTTCTTTCCTCACACAAATTTATTTATGTGAAAAGGGTAAAAAATTAAGTTTTATAATGTTTACCTCAGGGTATGAAGATGCTGCCTTGAAGACACAACGTAGTCTTGCTATTTTAAACTTTGGTCAAAGTTTAGTATTCAGTACTGCTCTTTCGGCTGCTATGGTGTTGACTTCAAATGGCATATTGAATGGTCAAATGACTGTTGGTGATCTGGGTATTATACGTTTTTGAGTCTCATTTAATTCTGACAAATATAATTTATGAAGTGGTGTTATAAACTATGGATTGAGATTATGCACAGGTTATGGTGAATGGGCTCTTATTCCAACTGTCTCTTCCTCTCAATTTCCTTGGAAGTGTGTATCGTGAAACTGTGCAGAGTCTTGTTGACATGAAATCCATGTTTCAGCTGCTTGAGGTACTTCCATTTCCATAGATTTAAGTGTTTTATTGTTATTTTATATATGCAAGAAACAGCAATGTACTTTTCCTATATTTCATATAAATCGGAACCTATGTGATAAATATGTCAGTAAAGAAGAATATATATATATATATATATATATATATATATATATTTTGAATGTACAGGAGAAGGCGGAAGTGGGAAATGCAGATGATGCAAAGCCTTTAAAGTTAGGAGGAGGTAGCATTGAATTTGAAGATGTTCATTTCAGGTAATAAGTAATCATTGATAAAAGGTAATTATTTTTGGATTTAAGTTGCTGATATGTGGTCTGGTCTGGTGTGGTTATTTTAGTTATCTACCAGAAAGAAAGATTCTTGATGGGATATCTTTTGTGGTTCCATCTGGGAAAAAGTGTGGCTATTGTTGGAACTAGTGGCAGTGGTAAACTTTCTCATCTCATCTCATCTGCTCCCTTTTTTTTTTTTTTTTTTTTTTTTAAATGTACATGTAGTTAGTGATGGTAGTACAATTAGGCTTCAAAATCATATATATTGATTTTTTTTGCATCAAGTCACGTTTCTTATATATAAATGTGCAGGTAAATCAACTGTCCTTAGGATGATATTCAGGTTCTTTGACACCAATTCTGGCACGGTAACTGATTATTTTTTCATTAATATATTATGCATCATGCAAATGTCAATCTTACAACCCACCCCAGTTTATGTTTATGTTATTTTATGGTTTTATTGATTCATGGGATAATGGTAATGGGAATGAGCTGTTACATTCCATGATGATGTGATGTTTGGTTTGCCTGTAGGAACTGGAATATATTTCATATTTTGTGCCAAATACAATATATAATTTTTAACTCTACTATATACATTATTTAATTTTTTTTTTACTTACAAAAATACCAAATTAACATTAAAAAAAATGAAATTATAATAAAAAATATACTTTCTAATTATATTTACAGAAAAGACATGTTCTATTAAAAATTTACTTAAATAAGAAATTGGGTACTGTTGCAGTTTTTTATTCCATTCCATAAAAAACACTCTCGAAAGAGTGAAAATTAACAAATAAGGGATCGCATTTCTTCAAAGTGGTCTATTCCATTCCATTTTTTTTTTCTTCATTCAATGGAATAAATAATTCCATTCCTTTGTCAAAGGATTTAGTCACACCTAACTTACTACTTATTAGGTATATAATATCTGAAAGTATTAAGACTTTCCTATATATATGACAGGTGAGGGTAGATGGTCAAGATGTACGAAAAGTTACGCTCGAAAGCCTTAGAAAATATATTGGCGTGGTCCCGCAGGATACGGTAAGTTCAAGAAAGATCACATCACACACCTTTTTTTTTTGACTTATATATTCAAGTTTTCAGTTGTTAAGTTATTTACATTTGTGTTGAAGTCTTTAAGTGAGCATAGCATGATTGAAGCACCCTTGCCTTTGTTTCTTTGAGCACAGGTATTATTCAACGATACAATTTTTCACAACATCCATTATGGTCGTCTTTCAGCTACACCTGAAGAGGTTGTTAACATAACGCCTTGCCTTGCCTTCCTTTCTGACTTAATAGTATTAGTCATTTTGATTTTGATTTTTGACCAACCAATTTAATTGACTTGATGGTTAATGCAGGTGTATGATGCTGCTCGAAAAGCAGCAATTCATGACACTATTATGAACTTCCCCCAAAAATACTCCACTCTAGTTGGTGAACGTGGTCTCAAGGTAATTATTAACTTTGATTATGTTATGTTGCTCCATTGGTCTTCTATGCGACAACCATATTAAAGTATGATGAGTGGATAACTTAAAATACACAACATGAACATAAATAATGTGTTTGTTTTTCATATTCTTAAATTGTTAACAGCTTAGTGGGGGTGAGAAACAAAGAGTGGCTCTGGCTCGTGCCTTCCTGAAAGCTCCTCCTATTTTGTAAGTCTCCATCACTTTTCAACTGTAATTGTAAATGATTTTATTATTATTATTATTATTATTATTATTACTATAACATTTGATTGACACAGGCTGTGTGATGAAGCAACAAGTGCTCTGGATAGCACAACAGAGGCAGAGATACTGACGGCATTAAGGTCACTTGCCAATAACCGAACAGCAGTCTTTGTTGCTCATAGGCTTACAACTGCAATGCAGTGCGACCAGGCAACCCCCCCTCCCCCTCCCCTTCTTTTTATTTTTTTTTTCAAAAAGAAAAAAAAAACCATTTTCTTATGTTATCAGTACATAAATAAATATTTGTTTGATTCAGATTATTGTGCTGGAGAACGGGAGGGTGGTGGAGCAGGGTGCTCATGAAGCTCTGTTGTCAAATGGTGGTAGATATTCACAACTCTGGTCACAGCAAAACAACACAGTTGATGCTCTTGATGCAGCTATCCCATCAAATTAGATTACAAGCTTAAAATTATTATTATTCTTCATGTTGATGGATTTTTGTTTCTTTAAAAAACAAAAAACATACCTAGTCAAATCATTTTTCAGCTACTTGTATAGTTTTTCTTGTGTTAATGTTGATGGCTGTGTCATACGTTGTGTAAATCTTCTCCAGTTTTACTTTTACAATATCCATCCAATTTGTTTCAACTGAGCCACATAACGAGTGCAAGTGTTTATAGCTTTTATTTAAGATTGCATTACAGTGTAATGGCAGATATGTTGGTAGCAGATCAAGTGAAAGTTGTACTTGCTTGAAGGAGATGTTAGATAATACCTTTGTGTATTTAAAAATTAAAACTCTCAACATCAAAACGCAAGCACTTCTCTTAATTCCAAAAAAATAAAAATAAAAACTGATTATGCACAATGCTAAGTAGTAAAACATCATAAAACAAAATAGAAATAACATTTATAGATTCACATGACCTGTTTTCAACTTCTTCCATCTTCATATAATTAATCTCTTCCCTAAGTTGTCTTCAAAACATCAAGCTCGATTGTGGATGGGGTCTGACCCTTTCCTAACTGTTCTTTTGCTTGATTGACAACGACTGAATTTCTTGTTTACAGCTTCCTCAGATGATGGATTTCTTTTAAGATCATCCATGTCAATTACTGCCTTAAGCATGCGATGATTCATCACTATTCCATGGTCTTCCTTTATGAATCTTAGTTCAAACCCTACACTTCTGATGCCAGAAACCGTATACGGTTCAACTGCTAATATCCCAATGCAGGTAACAAATATGAATAGTTTATGACTACCAAGAATCATAGTTCATATGTAACCGAGATAAGTGGTAAGAGAGTGTGTTTCCTTTAAAACAAGTAAGACTGATAGCTTAGTCTTACATGTGTACATCTAATACAAGGATTTATATATACAATAAATGAGGTGTAGGACCCACGTGGCATAGAAGAAGTTCCAGATTTATTCCAATCATAAGCCTTCAATCTATAAGCAGAATAAAGAAAGTAAAAGAATCTGACTAGGATGAATAAAGGAAAATGGAACAGTACCCTTGAGAAGCTAAGCATCTTTTTCCTTCCTCTTTGCTTTTGTCTACTAATGAAAGACCAAACCATTAACCATTGTCTCCAACTCCATCATATATATCTTGCCACATCAGCATACCCATGTGGCAATATGAAGGGTATTTTGGTATTATTACTTTTGCTTAGTTAGTAAGAAAAGAGAGACATGAGCAGCAAAACACCAAATAGGCCTTGTGCTTGGCTAGTCGGAAAGAAGAACAGTGAAAAAGCATTAAAAAAATTAGACAAACTTATAAAAAAACATATACTTTATGCGCTTTGAAGATCTCACTTTAGCATTCCAAGCTCTGTTTCCCATGCAACAAAAAGAACAGTCTCGGTTTTTTGTGCTAAATGTGTTTCTTTGCTTTTCTTTATTTTGCTCTCATTCAAAACTAATCGTGCTCTCTCTCTCTCTCTCTCATCATCATCATCAAGGTGGAACATTCTAATTAAAGCTCATGTTTTTATGCTTTATCGATCGGATTTGATGGGTTTCAAGATCAAAGGGAAGATGATAATTGTTTATTGATCTGATCTCAATAAGGATAATAAAGATTTTGGTAAGGGTACATAAAAGTTAGATTCAAATGTGATGTACTTATTAGATACACTTGCTTCCTCACTTAAAGTAGAATATAATGTCATGATCTGAATCTTTAGCATTTTATACTAGTTATATAAATAGAAGCTCATAATTCAAAAAACTTGTGAGATATTGGCTTTGCAGCTTGTAGATTCTCTCAAGCCTGGTCTTAAAGAAATTGCTTTTGTTAACTTTAGTGCAAATTTTGGGTCCATTATCAAGTTATGCATCAAAATTCAAAATACTCTCCACAATTATAAGCAAATAATTAAAAGAGAAATAGAAAATGAATATTCAGGGTCTATTATAAATTCATAGTACAACTATCAATGCAATGAGTACTCCCTATAATGGATTTATGGAGATGGGACACAAGTTGTTGCAAGTTCAATGGTTTTATGTAAATTGGAATTTGATTCAAAATTTATGCTAAAAGGGGGGTGAAGGTATTTTTGCAAGACGGCAATAGGAATGTCAGTTTTATGCTAAAGATGAATGCTTTATTGGTTACTTTAAATATTATTCCCCGATATTATAGTTATACTACCACCATTTATTCTATATGTTTTATAAAAGCAAGATAAGAAAAGTTAGATATGTGACATAAGACCGATAGAGAGAGAGAGAGAGAGAGAGAGAGAGAGAGAGAGATATACTGTGGCAAATATAGAATTGAGACTGGAATTCAAGATCTCTGATAACTTTTTATTGCTTGAAAATCTAAACATAAGTTTTTTAGACGCTTACTATTATCCAAAGGCCTTCGCAAAAACTTTATGCAAAACAAGCAATCTATCACAAGCTCAACTTGCTATTATGGCCCCACCCCAACACCAGTTTCATTTGGTAAATAGCGGCTCAATTTTCATTTTGTCCACTAAAATAAACCCAACTTCTCTACCATTATAAAAGGCAAATTATGTGGAATAGCAACCTACTTTCCTCTTGCTACTAAGAGATTTAATGTATAAAAGCAAAAGCAATGTATTTTTATATCTTTACCCATAATAGCAACCTACTTGCTTTTTCTTTTACCGATAAAAGCAGCCTGCTTTACTTATTACCTATAACATCAAAGTACTTAATATTTTTTTACCCATGATAACAACGCACTTACATCCCTAAAAATACAATATGAGCAATGCACTTCATTTTTTATGTATCACAGAAATGTGTAAATAAATGTTAAGTATATTGCTATTAAGGGTAAAAAACAAAGTACATTGCCTATATTGGTAAAAAGAGTAAAACATGTGGCTATTTCCTACAATTTGCCTCATTATAAAAAACAAAATACAATAACTGTGTCATCTTTTTTCCATCACAAAGATGATCCAATCCAGCATATAATAAGTGTTGCAAAAAGAAATGTAATGATTGAAGTACAAATCAAACAGAAAATTTTACGCCCTCATCATCTGTTGAAGTTCCCTTGAAGATTGCAAGTTTTCCTTTGTTTTCCAGAAGTTTTAAGTGCCCTCACTAGAACAGTTCGCTCCATTCCATGGATATCTGAGATACTTTCTAATCTTTTTTTAGAACGATTGATTTGAATTTTTTTTAATCCGAGTAAATTTACATTTTTGTCCCTAGATGTAGCCGGTTTTTGCAATTTTGGTCCCAAAAAGTTTTATCATGCAATTTTGGTCCGTATTTGAGGTCCTTGTACGCTTTTGGTCCCTGTTCCAAGTGACGTGACTATTTTTGGTCCCTGAATATAGCTAATTTTTTTTGCCAAATTTGTCCCAATAAAATAGTTACTTTACTTGGGAACAAGAACAAAAATGTTACAAGGATCTCAAATAAAGGACCGAAATTGCAAGAGAAATTTTTTTGGAACCAAAATTGAAAAAATCAGCTATAATTAGGGACCGAAGATGTAAGATAGTCTTTAAATTATTTTTGCAAAAATAAATGGTTAGAGAAATTACCTGTTCCACGTGACTCAATCCCTGAACGTATTTCCTCAATTGTCATTACACTGTCCTCTAATCCATTCTCCTTAACCTAATAAATCGATAATCATTTAAAAAAAAAAAACATCCACTTACTTTGATAAATGAAAAGAATAGCATAGTACATACAAAGCGTAAGATGAGGTCAGCCCAATCTTTTATACGATGCCATAAGATAAGACATTGCCTATGACTCTTGTCCATCCATTCTGCACGTCCTGTTAGGATATTGACATTTCAAACAGTCAAGACATGACATGACATGACAGAACAGTGCCTCAGACTGTGACTGTGACTACAGTCTAAGACCGGTGTCAATGAGAAAATGGTGATAGTTTGTGCCACCCAAAAAAGGTGGGGCAAGGATTCACTCTCAATCTAACGTGTGTGCAAAAGACATAAATGCCCTTCTCTTCTCCGTCATTGAAAATAGCCCTAGAAAGCTTGTCCAATACATTGTTGTCCCGACTCCCGTGTAACAAACACAGCCTAAATTCCTTACTAGTTTTACATATTATATTTATAATTTAAAGAAAAAAAAATAACTATTGTTGAATATGTGTGACTAGGAATCCTAACAAAAAAGGGATAAAGAAAATCAAGAAAGTAAAATGGACACGGACCATCCAAGACTATGGCTGACAGGAAAGCTTCTCTTGCTTCATGATTCAGAGACCCTGCACTACCACATTCAAAACTTATTCACCACTACAGTTGAATAAATCAATCATAGATAATTTCATCTAATTTTAGTAATTTTGTCAAATCATTTCAACAATCAAGTTGATATCTTGTTTAAGACTACCACATTGAAGACAATGAAGCTTTGGTTTTTCCTTGGTTTTAAGGAAGCCATCAATGACATTTTGACAACTTGTCATATATAAGAATCATCAATGCTAATCACAAATACGAGAACACATGATACCAAAACACACACACACACACACTACAGTCTACAGCGTGCAAAAATGAGCCATGGAACAATAGTTTATTTGGAACATAAAACAAAGTACAATGGTATGGAAAGTCGAATATGCCTCCAAGGACTATTTGAACAAGTGAAAGAAGGGAGTGCTTACTTTCAATTGCAGGGTTGGAGAACAGGGGAAAGTCTTCTTCCAATCCAATTATAAATATCTTTTGTGTTCGACAATAATCAAGAATAAGTTCCTTCCATAGTTGTATTTGCTTCTCTCTTGTTTCTCTCACAGGCTGCAACCTGATGAAAGATGCAATGTAAATACAAAACTGATCCCAAACAGAGACCAAACCATGTCAATAGGGATTCTCAAGAAAATGCTCAAACCTAGTTACTGGATACCATTAACTTCAAAAAGGCAATAAACACTTATAATTTTTTTACGATAAACGGTTATCTTATCAGTTGTAGTGTAGCTTTTTCAATATCCAATTTGGGATTTCACGCATAATAGTTCTACTTGTCTAAGAAAGATCTTTGATATTTCTACCTTCAAAAGGCACATATTTTCTAACAATACAGGAACATTAGGCGATTTATAATTCTCCATATAGATGGCTAGAGTGAATTTAACAATAAACGTAGCTTGGAAAAAAGTAAGTCATTACGTAAAGTAGGGCGGATAATTAAAGAAGTGGGGCAACTTATGATCGCCAAGTGTCTGCATCGCTTGGTCAGAATTAACTCCGTAATCCTGCAGAAAAATCAAATATGATGCTTGTTGTTATTTAGAATTGAGAAAAACAAGTCCGATTTCTAAGTACGTAAGTCATATAATCCCTTAAACTCTAACTTCGCAAACGAAATCACAATCATGACTCATAGTGCCTTAAAGTACAAATCTCAATTTCACCACCAAAAGCAACAGAAGTCGTAAGGAGTGTAAGAAAGGAAATGTTAGGATCTTACGATAGCTTTAAGCGAGCAATCACAAATTGTGTTACTGTGAGCGTTCTGTTGCAGCACGATGATCAATTATATGTATCTAGACGAATCGGTTTGACCTAATTTCCCAGTAGAAAAGCTGTTTATGTGTTGGAGATACTGGTTATATCAGGTGACCTATGGATAGTTTTGGGTAAATATGACTGTTGGGTAATTGAACTTTCACAAATTAATTTAAATGGTCCTTAAGGTATTTTTCTTGCTTTTTAAGGGTACAAAGTACACATTGACCTGCTTAATTGGTGCTTGTTGTCTGATTTAACCGGTTCGTAGAACAAATCTAATTAAATCCATTATCTCCAACGCACCTTTTCCAAATCAAGATCAAAGAAAAACACAGTTTTTTGCGATTTTAGGAGCTTTGATCAGAACTCTCATTTTTTCTAGGTTCCGCTTTTGCTTACAGGAGATTAAAAAACAACAAGATATTCAAGAACAAAAGGAAAGAAACTCAATTTCATAGAGATTATGTAAGAACGGTAAAAGCTTGTGTTTTGCCCAACTCCAGTGCAAAATGGTTTCGTATAGTCGAATTTCTGGAAAATGGTAGATTGAGAAAGGCAAGGTCTTCAAGTGGAAAAATGATTATCTAAGACTTACTTGCGAAAAAAAAATAGACAAAACTCTAAGTTTTTTAGAGTTTTATTTTGAATCAACGGAGGAAGCCCATCGCCGAAAAATAGCATTTACCGATCTTTAAATTATAAACACAAAGCCCCAACCGGATCTCGGCCCAGAAAATCTAGTGACGTTTCAAAAAAATCCAACAACAAGTCCGCAAAAAATATGGAAATTAGGTTCTAGTGTTTTAATATTTAGGTTTTATTTGGTATGTTGTATGTTTTTTTAGTAATTTATGTTTTAATTTTTTGTGTTTTTTTTAAGTAATTTAGGATTTAAATTTGTGTGTTTTTAATTAATGTAATGTGTTTTTAGTTAATGTAAAATATTTATTTATGTTTTAAATTATGGTTTTTATTTAATTTAATGACAAGAAAAAATAAAAAAATAAAAATTAAAATTATGGAGTGGTAACAATTTCCAATGATTAATGTTTAATAGTGAGCTTGTAGTGAAGTTGACATTACATTGAGTTGTCGCAGCTGTTTGTTTTTTGTCTGCAGATCTTCTTTGTTTCTTCTGTCTGAACGGCACAGACCACGCGCAAACATTAGGTTTCGCAGACTGTTTGTTTTTTTAAGACTGCAGACCTATAAAGGTATGTGTGTTCTCTTCTGTCTGCGCGTCCTCTTCTTGGCACATATGTGGACCAAAGTATTCAAACATCTTCACACATCTTTTAGCCTAAAAAAATACATATATCTTTGTTTTCTTTTTATAAACTTAGATTTATTTCAACTTTATCTATGATAAACAACTTTAAAAAAATTACAATTCTTAAAGAAAAAAGGTTCTACGACACAATCATGACATTTGTGACAAATTTATAAATAAATATTTAATTACAATAATGATCATTGAAGCTGTTTATATGGATATAAAAAAAATCCTAATATTGTCTTATATTTTTTGTGTCAAATTTTATAAAACATTATTTAATGCAGTAACATTAATTTATTGAAAAATATTTATGCTTGGTTTTTAATTGATTTAATTGAAAAAGTAAAATGAAAATTTTCATTTGAAATCAAAGTTTATTTTCGTCCATTTTATGTGTTAAGTTCTTTTATCCCTAATTATTGTAACACCCATTTTCCAGGATGGGTCAATTTAGGGTTTCAAGGAGTCAAATGGTCGAATTTTGGAAGAAATTGGGTCTCACGACCCATACAACCATGTTGAATATACTGTCGAGCCATGACAGCAGAACAAAAGGCTGACTCAATCCTGGTACCCTATCCATAAATAACCAGTTCTTCCCCACTTGGGGTTCGAACTACCACCCGCTGACTCTCGCAGTCAATCATAGCCCCAAATCTACTCAGCTAATCCATCCTCACAAACACGCACACATTTCCCATGGAAATAGGGATCAGATAAATCTCATAAGATACCCCAAAGATCTCCAAAACACAACCCTGATAAACAGTCGATGCAGAAATCCTGTGTTCGTTAGCGATAGAAACCCGCAACGGACACTCCAACTCTCCAAGAGTCATATCAAAACTCCTACTGAAGGATCGAGATACAAAGGGCCGACTCACACCCGAGTCAAAAAGCACAATATCATACAAAGAGTTCACTAAGAAGGTACCTAACATAATCATAAACATAAGCATACCATAAAATAGTTGATAGAATATTAAATGGAAACATACCAGTAACGACGTCTGGCGCCACCCTGGCCTCCTTTGCTGTAAGCTGGAAAGCACGTCCTCTAGCTCTCAGGGGATCCACCATACCTTGGCGTCTATTTGTAATCCTCAAAGTAGACGGTGTTGGAGCCTGTGTCGGCCTCACAACGATCAAGGGATAGTTGGCCTTCACATGACCAACCTGCTCACAGTGGTAACAAATTATGGGACCCGCGGGCGGGGCCTGCTAACGCCAATCCTTAGCATATTGCCCCTCCTTGCCACATTTGTGGCATCCAAATGATGATCGACAAGCACCCTCATGAACATTGTCGAACTTGTCACAAGTGCATCCCCTCTGTCCTCCAAATCTCGAATCAGCAGGCTTGAACTGCTTTGCTGCAGGTTATGACTGCATAGGGGGCTTCCTCAAATCCCTCGTATAAATCTTTATCTCAATCTCCCACCTCCTCGCAACATCCTAAAGCTCAACGAGGGTAGTATAACATTGGGTGGACACGAACTTCCGAATATCCGTCTTGAGCATGCTCAAGTACCGAGTCATCTGAGCCTGCTCTGAAGCAGCAAACTCAGGGCAAAAAAAAGCCCTCTCGGTAAACATCTTAGTGATATTCGTCACCGACTCATTCGTCTATCTCAGGTCCACGTACTCCTGGTCAACTTCTCCCTCTCCACCAAGGGAATGTATCTGGCACGAAACATATCCGAGAACTGCTGCCAAGTAACAACAGCCCTCTGCTCAGGAGTGTAAGTACCAGTCACCAATCTCCACCAATTCTTCACCCCAACTTGAGAAGGTTCAGGGCACACTTTACCTTCTGATCAGCAGGGCAAGAACATGTGAAGAAACAACCCTCCACATCAGACAACCACCTCAGCGCTACAATCGAGTCCCTGACCCATCAAACTCTGGGGGCTTCGTATTGTCGTATCCTGATACTGGAAAGCTCTCCCCCCTTGAACCCCTGCAATAGCAACAATCACGGTGGCTGCAACAACAACAACAGCCTCAGAGAGTGCAGTTTAGCGATCATCGAATAGCTCAATCATGGCGTTCTTGATAGACCCAAACAACTCTGGAATAGATCCCCAGATAGCAGTAGCCACCTCAGCAACAATCATCTCTCATATCTGATCATCAGTCAACCCTGGCCTATCCTAACCACTCGCTCCAGATCCATAACCTGATCCCCTCGTGAACACCATACTGAAAAAGAACCAATAGATATATCATAAAATGTCACCATTCATACCATACAATCATCACAGAGAGGCTAAAACCTGGGGGTTTGTAATTTCCTTGCTACGCGTATGGGTCCTATGCTTCCAGTAGTATGGGTCCATACTACCTTCCACACCTACCTGTATTTGTCTCAATGGATCATCACAAACTACTGGAAAACATCCCACGACTAGGATAAGCATACATCATATCCCCACTATACCAAGAGTGGCTAATCATTCCTTATATGGCTAGTTGCTCACACACATACTCATCCATGAAACTTCCACCAACCATGCAACCACTCGTGCATGCTAATTATACATAACATTGGATCTTATGGACAAACGAATACTTGATTCTACACTAAGCCCACAACCAAATAAAGGGCAGGAAGTAAGGCTAAACCAAACATTCTCAGACTATAAAATATTTGTTATGTACAACTATGATGCATACACTAAGCAACTATAGTAATGATGTCAATTTCATTCAAGAAGTCCTCCCAGGCTATCAGGCATCATACATCATGCAATCCTATCAAGCAATTCCTGAAGATCCCTAGCATATCACCAGCATGTAATTCTATCATATCATAACAAATAACAGTGTGGTTACTTGGGATATACTTTCTTGTTCCGACTAATTGTACACATCTCATTCTTCCCGGGTTACTTCTAAAACAATTTGAATTCAGTTTTGAAAATAATTTGAAATTTATTTCGAAAACTTTTACAGATCCTTAGTTTGAGTTTGGATTCGCACGGATGGTCATTCAATTCTCTCAAACCAGGGATCTGATACCAACTTGTAACATCCTAAAAATCTAGCTAAAAATTATAATTTTTAAATCAAGTAAAATCATTGTTTTCAAATAAAATCCCAAATCAGCCTATCATTTACAAAACATTGTTCTCAAACATAGAAATCATATATCAGAGTGTTCCTGTAACACCTGGTTCAGGTGTTGGTTGGAAAATTGCCAAATTGGGGAGGTTTTATGCATGGACTCGACGAGTTGGGAGATCAACTCGTCGAGTAGAGTCGAGACATTTTGGACGCGGGTCGAAACTGACTCGGCGAGTCGGAAGGCCCGACTCGGCGAGTCAGATCTGTTTAGATAAAACCCTAGTTTCGAGGTTTGACCCCTATATAAACGTCATTATCCGCCCCAGAAGCCTCCCTTAGCACCATAGAAGAACGTTTACGGCCGCACACCTTCTTGTGAGTGAAGTAAGACCAATTGAGAGTTTTCCTTGAGATTTTGGGGAGGATTCCAAGTTTGAAGAGGAAGTATCAAGGGAGAAGTGTTAGATCAAGCATCTATTTCATCTTAGGCATTAAATTGAGGTATGAATCTGTCACCATGAGCCTAGATTCTATTTGAGAATTGTGACCAACTTTGAGGAAATAGAAGCAACCTTGGATCTGGACATATCACAAGGATATGGTTCCAGATCTGGACCTTCTTAGGTCCCAAGCATCATAAAGTTGCACCCTTTATTAAGCCCTTTTCTCTCCATGCATGAAAACCTTGTTGGAAGGTTAGTTTTGGTGATTATGGCCATGTGAGGCTTTGCATGTACGTAAAGTTTGCAACTTTACGTGTTATCCACACTAGTAGAGTATAGATATGAAGTTTGGGGCCTCGAGTCCCACTGGAAGAGGGCGTAAACATTATGGACTAATAGGGACTCGACAAGTCGTGCAAGAGACTCGGCGAGTCGAGAGGGTTTTCTCGTGTTCAGACAAGGGTGTTCGGCCAAGGGTGTACGCCCAAGAGTGTACGGCCAAGGGTTTACGGTCAGAGGTGTACGGCCGTACACACCAAGGAACTCGACAAGTCCCTCGGGTGACTCGGCGAGTCGACGAGTTAAGCAGGGAACCCGACGAGTGAATGATTGTACTCGACGAGTCAAGGTCAATATGGACTGTTGACCATGACTATAGACTTTGACTTTGACCATGGTTGACCCTGGGGGGGGGGTATTTATGGGATTGTGCTGAGTTATTTATTCATTGATTATAGGCAGTTGGGAAGAGAAGCATAGGGTATACTTGAATTCAGTTGCCGATTCAGCCTTGTGAGGTGAGTCTTCTCACCATACCAATGGGTCTAAGGCAACAAGGCCGGCCCATTTTGCGATAGTTGGTTTACTTGTTATGTAGAGATGTGATATGTATTTGTGCATGATATGTGGTAGAGTTAGCCTTTGTGGATAACGGTAGAGATAGCCGTATGGCTAATGGTAGAGACGACCTTATGGCCAATGGTAGAGACAACCTTTATGGCTGATGGTAGAGATAGCTTTTGTGGCTAACGGTAGAGATAACTTCATGGCTAATTGACATGTGATATGTGGTAGAGGTAGCTTTATAGCTAATATGATATGTGGTTTGTGTGGAGTATGCTCTGGGGGACTCACTAAGCTTTCAGCTTACCGTTTGTGGATTTATTTCAGGTACATCGGAGTCCAAGGGTAAAGGCAAGGCGTGATGATGCGGCGTGCACTTTATCTCTCTTTTCCGATCTGGTTTGGGGGACACTCTGATGTTCTGAAAATAATAATGTTGTAATGTTGATGGTTTTGAAAATGATTATTAGAATCTTTATGTTTTATGAAAAATGGTTGACTAATTAAAAATGAAAAATTTCTCCGGTAAAATTGGGTCGTTACATGTTGGTATCAGAGCCTTGGTTTGAGGGATTCGGGCATACTCTCGGGTGTGTCAGGACTCAAACTAAGGAAAGGATAAATTTATTTTCAAAAATAACATAAAAAGCTTTTGAAAGAAGGAAAAGATGAGAATGCAACGCGCATGATCAGCCGAGCCAAGTAAGTATATCCCCAATATGCTAGTCATGCTATTTTGATATTTGAACTTGGAAGATCGTATGGAATTTGCTATGTGTATTCTTTTAAAATTATATACGGTTAGGAGCTTATAGCCTTAGAATGATCGATTTGGCCTTATTTCCTGTTCCTTGTTTGGTTGTGGTCCTAGGGTAGAATCTTTTATTCGAAAGTCTATTTGATCCTCTTCTATGTATAATTTGCATGCATAAAGGCAACCTGTTATGATTGGTCTATTTGATGTGGGTATAGAAAATCTTAGAACAGTCTAGGATTTGGGTTATGCGGTGGTTGGTAGAATACGGTTTATTTGGGACGAATTAGAGTTATAAGGTCGAGCCTTGGGGAAAGGTACAGGTAGGTGTGGAAGGTAGTATTAGGCTCGTACTACTGAAAGCACAGGACCTGTACCCAAACCAATGTTAGATCTGACGACTTCAAGGAGGACCGGTGTGGAGAGATCCGTTTTATGGAAATCCTGATAGTTATGATTTATGACGTTCCAGTTCTGCATGGTGGTGACACGTTTCGGAGCGGGAGGATCAGGATCAGGATCAGGATCTGGATCCGGGAATGGATCGGGTGACACTACAAACGACATAGATGAGAGGCTGCGCGAGATCATTGCAGCCAAGGTTACAAAGGGTATCCTTGACGCTACCCCAGTGATTTTTGGAACGGTCAAGGAAGGCATAATGGAGATCATGAAGGAGAGACTCAGATCTTTCAGGACTGAGATTGTTGCGGGCCAGTTGGGAGCCCGAACTCCCTCGTTCCGGGAGTTCAAGGCGTGTGGGGCGCCGGAGTTTTTCGGGGCCAGGGACCCCATTGTCAGCCGACGCTGGATAGCGGATATCGAAAACGCCCAGCGCACGAGTTCTTGCCCGGATGT